CGACAAAAATCAAGTGTTGCTCAGAGAACTAACTTCAGTCAGCAGGTTTTCATTTAGACCTCCATGTTTGGAGCGCTTACCGAACTCCTGCTGCTGTTTGCTTTCAGCCGGAGACACAGCGGCCTCCCTTAGAGAGAGAAAACCCGTAAAAAGTGAGAAAAACACCCAAAGTTTCGCTCCCATGTCGGACAGACTGACTGACGGGCTGGAGCGGAGGAAGAGGTCCGCAAAGGTCTGCTCCAGGATCAGCCGCTCACTTCCGACCTCAGTCACATTTTGCGGAGGAAAAAGCCAAGTTCTCCTGCATCCAGATCAGATGAAGTCATTGTTAGCTCCAGAAACACGCAGAGAGAGGAACTCCAACTCCACGGAACCAGGAAGACCGAGAGGCTGTATGGAAAGTTAGCGAGAACCACGCCGGAAGTAGAGCTGTTGGTCTCCAAAATAAAAGCACCGAATTCCTCAGCCTTGATGAAATCAGCTTAGACTTTGCCGAAGGGTGCAACTTTGTGAAGAAAGTTGTTGGGGACACTCTAATGCTGCTTTCACACCAAAAGCAGCAGAGGCAGCTAGTTTACATGCAAAGTCAATGGTTGATGGGTCAAGGTGCAGCAAAATATGGCAAGCAAAGAATGCCACTATTCGCATCTAATTATCACATTAAGATTCAAATTCACTCGCTAAAAGCGCCGGGTTTTCTGAAATTTCGCTCCTTTTTTTGCCATTTTTTACCGTCATGATGGTACCGCAAGACGCGCGTTCTTAATGCGCGTAGTGACAGGTCAGAATGCAAGTTCTTGATGCGCGTTTTCCTAATATATATGATAATAATGTCCTTCCTTTTCCCACAGCCAATGCATTTGAACTGGTTGCATCCAATCGCTGATCAAGGCAGCCAGACCAAGATAGTTCAGCGTTACCAAAGTTTACTGCCTTGTCGTTTCACAAAGCCTTAGTTTTAGGAATATATCCACTATATGCACTTTGCTGTTATTTTGAATCCATTTCCATGATTATCTTCATGTAAAAACATTTTTCTCTACAGGTATTAGTAGGAAGAGTTCACCGGGTTTAGCAACTCAGACGTGGCGCAGTGTTTAAAGTGACCGCATGTAATGCATAGTTTTTGCTTCAATACAGGTTTGAATTCCGCTTAGGTAGTTTGACTTTTCCCTTTATATTCTATCTTGTCTCTAGTCAAGCCCAATTCGTAGTTTTTGTTTTGTTTGTTTTTTTGAGAATATAATCCATAAATGTAGGCCACTTCACTGTTGTTTTTGATCCATCGCCATTCATTCATTCATTTAAAAACATTTTACATTGTGCTAAAAGAATGACAATAAAGAGGCCACTTGTGTTCCAGAAAATGTGTCTCTCTGACTTGTTTTCTGTATGTTTCCTTCATATCACTAACCTTTTCCAAAGCTCATGATGGTTTCTACAGCCATGGAGCAACTGCTATATTGTCTGGGTCAGAACACGCGTCAAGTACGCGCGTTTTGACCTGTCACCATGCGGTACCATCATGACGGACGTAAAAAGTGGCCTTGCCGGTAAAAATTAAAAAATTCCGGAAAAACGGGCGCTTTTAGCGAGTGAATTTCAATCTTAACGTGATAATTAGATGCGAATAGTGGCATTCTTGGCTTGCCATAAAAAAAGGTCCCGTATTTTGAGCAGCTGAAGCAGCGAGTTGGTAGCGTTAAAGCATCTGTTGCAAACGACGCGCCGCAAACGCAGCTACTGCTGGAGTTGGAAAAATTTAACTTTAGCTGCTGGACGCACTGCTGATGCAGAGCGCTGTGATCACTCCTCTGAAACAGTTTATTAACGCCTAAATTAACTTAGAATGTAGAAACCTTGCTTTTATTATCCTGGTGCCTGGAGTTTGGATTTCATACATGAAAACCAAACTGCCGCCGCGGAAAACCGCGAGGAGGCGACCGGGTCATAGGCTGCTGTTGCATGGGGTTCCTACTGACAGCGCACCGCCGGAAAGGAAAGTAATGACAATGGAAAAGAACTTTATCCACTCTACCTTTAATTTAGATATATGCGACTAATTGTTAGCAAAGGCTATAGGAAAGTAGAGTTTGTCTTTATTTAGAAAATATGGATGATTTGATCCTTAATTTTCCCTATAGAAAGATGTAACCAATGTTCACGGATGTACCTCAGTGTACATTGGGTTATTGCCGGGGCCGCCATAATAAAAGTTTTCTGGCTACGCCTCTGCATAGGACAAACTGATTCAGCAACATATTTTAAAACTAGTGCAAATACAGCCAAAGCCCATAGAAAACGAATACATTCAAAAGACAAAACTTCACCCTCTTCTTGAACAGAACTAATTGAAAAAAACAAAAATGCAACTGCTTTTGGCATTTACTAAATCCTTTTTAGTTACTTTAACACAATCGTTTCATGTTAGCAGGGTATGAATAAAACAATTGTCTTAAAGTAACTAAATATGATTAAGTAAATGCCAAAAGCAGTTGCATTATTTTTTCAATGTACATGACCTGGTTGATATTAACAGTTCTCAATTAACCAATTTCCGTTTCCCTCCATTTATTAATTATTATTATTATTATTATTATTTTTTTTTTTTGATAAAATGTTAAATAATTGAATACGTAATCTTTGCATCTGCATCTTTTGGGGTCACTTGCATTGGGCTGCGGTAGATTCTAGATCCCTCACCAGAGGTGTCCAGGTCATTTAATTATATTCATCTAAAAATTTTAAATAAAAATCTAACACATTCAAATCACAATGTTTAACTACTGGTGTTGAAAAAGCAGCAACAGCCAGCTTCTATAAAATGCACTTGCATAGTTTTCAATGGACAAACAGTAATACATTTTTCCCAATAAGAAGTGTTTCGTGCTTCTGAAAGGCTTTTATTTTGTAAAGCCGGAAGTGTTCATCCTTGCTGAAGTGAACTTGACGTCCTGGTGGAAGGTTCCGCGTGAGTTCGCTTGTGAAACATGAACCCCCCCGATGTGGCCGTGATTTAATTGAAAGAAAATATAAATAAATTTATGAAACCTTCAAACCTGAAATAAAACATCAATAAACACAAAGTTTAAAGGGACTCATTTCGTGACGTTATGTAAGAGAATATAGCGGGAACATCTGGCGGCCCTATTTATAATCTCTGATCTCATCTAAATCCGCTTTAAGAGTGAGGGACTGTAAAACCTTATAAACCTCAGCAAAGGAAACATCATAGAAATAATCCAACAATGATAATCCGACAGTGGAAAAAAATATTAATCTAGTAGAAAAAAAATGTTTTTAAGAATTGTTTTATGAACACTAACAACTTTACCCAATTTCCACGTCCGACACTTCTGGAAACTTTTTGAAAATACATTAATTTCTTTGGTTTAAAGATCCTAAAAAGTTCTTAAAAGCCACAAAGTTTATTGAACCGGTTCGATCTTGCAGTTGCTGTATCCGACTGTAGGTGGCAGCGGCACACGGGAGGCGGTGTGGGTTTCAAGCTGCAGGAAACCAAAGAAGAAGAAATCCGAGCCGCTCCTGTGTTCCACATGATGCTGCGACTGCAGACGAAAAGCTGATAAAAACACAAAATATAGTCGCCTGGTTTTCTCTGCCGTCATGGATGAAGAGGATACAGTAAGTGGTGATATTATAAATAGCAATTCTGTCTAAATTTCCCACAGAAAAGGAAAACGTTGGCGTAAGGTAGTGGTTCACCAGACTCCTTTGACAAAACCAGTATTTACAATATTTTCTTATTAACACACTGTGTAACGTCTTTTTAAACGAAAAGTAAGAAGAAAATCTGAATCGAAAGGAGCTTTTTAAACTATCGGCTGAAAAAGATTTCAATAAATAAGTTTTCGCTCACTGCAGAAACATATTTTCAGATAAATGGATAAGGGGGCTTTACTCTGGCTGCTTTTAGGTAGGGCTCATCAACATTGTGCTGCTACAGATACAGAGTGGCCCAAAATTTATTTAAGATATGTTTGGAGTAAAAATATGCAATTCTTTCCCCTTAGACCGTATTCAGCTATTTTAAACTTTGTTTTAGCAACTGTTTAAATGTCACGGAAATGGTAGCGGTTAGTGTTAGCTAGTCAATTCGTGCCAAACTCCTTAGGCAAAACTATATTTTTAAAAACATTTAGGGATTTTAAAAAACTCAAACGTTTATAAAGATAATTAAATACTTAGCCTTGATTTTCAGCATCTTGTTCATCAATCGGCGACAGAAATTATGAAGTAATAATTTGATTAAATGCAAAAACATGAATGTTTATATCATTTCGTGGCTATTTAGTAGGTCTATGTATTCTGCATTTCCATGACAAACCATGGTTATCTATAGTCACTTTTTCTCGGTTAGTTTAGAATTATAATATATTTATACAAGATATTTGCTGTTTATCTTTGATATGATTATGGTAAAAGCATTGCCATGATTAGCTGGGGAAGATTCCCAGTCATCCAGGTCATAGTCCTTTTAAAAAGGTTAAAAAAAAAAACATTTCACTGGACTTTGTTTCCGAGTTTTAAGATGTTTCTCTTCCCATCCAGGAAGCTTTTTCAATTCAAAATGTCAGAAATAGTGATGCGTTCAATTCTCTATAGAGTTGACCAAAAACAAGGCCTTGTTTTGGCTTAGAAAACATGCAAATTGAACTGGAAGAACGGGCCCACCCCTTTGGAATGGGGGTCATTTGGCTGCTTTTGTTACCCTGCGATGCCCCATACCTGTCTATGTCTCTGAAAGGGAAATTGTTGGCCTGGCTGAATAGGGGAGGTCTTCTGTTCCCCTGTAAGGTGGTTGGGGTTGTGATGATAGCGGGAAGGAAACAACTCAATTGTCGAAAGCATCTTGTTAACCAGTTAGCAACTTAGCGCTAGTAGGTTCCCAATGGGAAATTCCATTGGGACCAAGTAGCACTAAATTGGTGACTTAGAAACGACACTGTCAAGGAACGCTATGGACAGCGGAAACATGCAAGAGGAGGAGAGTTTAGTGTCGGAGGTCGTGGCTGAGTCTCCTCCGTCATCCATTTTTTATTTAGTGGAGGAAACCGGGGAGTAAGATGGTGGGGAAGAGGACGCCAGGG